TTTTTTTTTTTTTTTTGTTTTTTTTGGGGGGGGGGGTGTCGGGAGGGAGGGAGCCTGTTTACTAGAGGAAGTTTAATTTCTCTTCTATATTGGAGTATTTTTTCTCCAACAGAAAGGACGGAAAGAGTCCTCTACATTTCTGTCAAATCCAAATTATCACCTGTCCCAATCTCCCATCTGAAACCTCACTCTAGGCTATAAACAAACAAACAAACTGCCGTGAGAAAATATAAAGTTACTGTAGTTTAGTTTTAACTTAGAGCAGGGTAAGAACACAGAGAAAACAATCACCATGGAGCTTCCAACTCCCTGGGTTCTTTTAAATCACTAATTTGTTTGTTTGCCCATATCCAGACTTCCCTACTGCTGATGACTAACATCATAAGGGAGCTGATCGGTGACCGTTACTCCAGTAGCCTGCAGAAGACATGACCACAGGGCATAATGAGGCACTTCCAGTCTATATCACCTTCTAGCAAGTCAAACCCCAATGACCAGATTTTGAATAAACATCAACATTTTTGGACCATTTAAAAAGAAAGAATACATTTTCTCCAGAAGTAGAATCTCATTTTACTAACATTTTATTCCAATTTAAAGTATTACTGGTTTCAAACGTGAAGCACATATATAGCACGTATCAGAACAACCGGCAGCAGCTGCATGCTTTTTAGCTCAGTGCAGCAAGAATGTTAGTTTTCTATGCTACTCCGCTTTTTTACCATCACTATTCCACGTGCATTTGAAATACCAGGTCTTCGGAAGTAGACCCTAAGTTTTATGCACAGTAGCATGCTCTAAGAAGCCAGCCATGAAAAAAGATTGCATAAAAGACTATGATAATGCAACATAATGGTTGAGATTCTTAAACAAACACATCCAAAAGTATTACTCTTTGGTTCTCACAGCAGTAGAAATGCCTCCTTGGGCCTGAAGACTACTCAGCCTTACATCCTATTCACAACACAAGGAGAATGGGTGGTGACTCCTACCACCGGACAAGGGCTAGAACTGCGGGACCTGAAGGTTCCTCGTCAGTTGAGCCAAGAAGGTCTGAAAAGCAGATGGTGAAAAACGGACACTAAGAAGCCAAGAAGAAAAAAGGAAGGAAAACAACAGGATCAGAAACATCAGAGGGAGAGAATTCAAGCCACAAAAACTAGGAAGAAACAGCAAAGGAAGAAACAAGAACCTTCCCCGAGAAGGTAAGTGCAGATCCTGAGTTGCTGCTTTCCCCATGCTGAGAAACAGAAGTGTTTGACTCCTGCCACAGCCTTCCTTTTTTTTTATACCGAACACTTCTTTTTCTTCTATTAGGCTCCATCCTTCCACCCTCCCCGTTAACACTTCTTTAGCTTAACTTTCAGAGATGTTGAGCACCCACCAGTACTAACATATCTGGGAAGTGAAACCACTAATACTCCACTTTGTCAATTTAGCTAGAAATCTGGGAAGAAGGCTGTTTCTTAACATTTTGCATGCTATGCTCATATAACCATTTTTTTTTTTAAGACAGCAGCATTATTAGCCCAAGTATCCACAGCACTTGAACTTTCACCAGTATGTCCTGATGCACCAGCTATCTTATGTTTAAATATCCCTTAACCTAGATTTAAGCATCCAGGAGCCATGTTAGAAGCAATACTTGAGGTCTCTCAAGCTACCCGAAGTGAGGACAAGTCCCAATAGTCTGATGGCCTTAACTTACAGCTGGTATGCTACATTCACAACAGGACTGAAACCATGCTAGTGACTTCAGAGGAATGTAAGCTTCAGGGGAAGAGATGTTGCATTTCCACTAACAATTTTCTGTGCTTTATCAATACCTAACATTTCTGAGAAAGATTACTGAAATCTCTCTAGATGCTCCACTGTCTTTGTACACTTTACATTGTTATCTATGTGGAAGCCCTGCTGCCCAGCCCTATCAGCTTCATCATTATTATAGAAACCCTTCCAAAAACGGCAATTAAAAAAAATTAAACCCGTATTATTTGCAATAGTGCCCTATCAGAAACCAATTTTTAAAAAAAATCAAGTTTTGCTCCCTAAACAAGGTAATTGTTTGCACTGTTTCCCAACCCAACACTGAGTTTTCCTCTCTCTCCTTATTGCGGTTATATAACCAAGTATATACTCCATTTGAGGGAGAGGGGCGGGGAGTTCATCTACAGAGTGGTTTTATAGAACACTTATAAAAAAAAATCCCTGGGCAGGAAGAAGTGCTTAGGCAGAGTAATGCAGCATGCCTAAGACCACAGAAACAGTAGTATGCAGTGAATGCTGAAGAAGTTCCCAGTTTCTCTCTAATCTCTTTAGGCTCACAGTCTAGCTTCATGTTTGGTTGCTCCCACCATCCAGGAAGAACTCCCATGGAAGACACCCAGAGCTCCAGCAAGCCGGAAGTCTACCAGTGGGACTGAAATTTCTTGCTCTCTATTCCTTTCTTTAGGTTAAAAATCTCTTCTGCAGCCCAGCAGACAGGGATCTTCTAAGTCACTCACACACTTTTCATTCTTGCTTGATTTCTGGAATTTTCCATGGGTGCCAGAAGCTCCATCTGGTGGGTGTGAATACTAACTGCATAGCTGAAAGGGAATTAACTATTTCCTTATCAAATGCTGCTAGGTAATGAAATAGCATTATACAAAGTTAATTTTTGTGTCTGAAAAAACAGAGCAGCATGGCCACATTCGGATTGCTCTGGGAACCGTAACTTTGAATTTCCTGCTCTGTGTTTAAAAATGCAAAATGCCACATTAACTTAGGTTCATCATTTTTTTAAATTAGAGTGCTCATGCATGCGAGTACACACGCTTCACTATATAAAGCAGGAATTACGTTTATTTGCAAATTGGGAATTTCAGAGAAATGGGGATTTCCTAGCCAACCTAGCAACCTTTCTGCTGAATCCTGGAAACTAATTTCCAATCATGTCCATCCGCTGGGTCACAGTATACTTATGCACACAACCTTGAAATTATAAGCATCAGTGGCCCAGAATAGCCTTCCACACCTGCCGCAACTTAAATACCTTATTTATCTGAGCATTTAAGGTATCAAGAGATGTATGTCTATACATCACGACCTGCTGTGAAATCAGCACATACTACACATGCTCAGTAAGCTATTCTCAGCTGGCCGTACCTATTTTTTTTTTTTTAAAGATGTCTCTGAAATCCAGGTCTCAAATTATCAAAAGCACAATGCAGGTCATTTTCTTATACCGTGATATATTTGGATGACTAAGAAAAGAAAAAGGAGACTGAATGAAAACCCCTCAAACTTTCCAAAACATTCTCTCTGGATTGGTTGAAAATAATCATGAAAAATCCCAAGGCAAAAATACATTTTAGAAATTTAAGCACGAGGACGCTACGGAATCTATGCAGGTTGTTTGAACGAATGCAAAAAAAACTGTTCTCAATTAGTATGATCCAAAAGAACCTAGAGACATTTATAATGTCACAAACTGGCACAAAAGCTTTTATACATTTTATATATACAGACTTAAAAATATGCAATCAATCTTTTTGTGATTATGCGTGTCCAAGCCAGTAAGACACATTACTTGGTGTACTGGTAAACAGTGAGTTGACAGAGCACCTCACCATAAGGTTACATACTTTCTCTAAGACCCTGAAGAACGTTATAATCTAGTCCCTATCCCTGCATACATCAAATATTAAATTGATAAGATCTAGCCATTGGCTAGCATCGTAACTAATAAGCTGTTTTTTCATTTTAAATACTTAAGGAATATCTGATTCAGCCTTCTCTTCCCCTAACCCTCCATGTGCTTCAAGCATAAATGCCATCACTATGGGACTGAGGGAACCTTTGAACAAGAACTTATACATGACCTTATCTCATCATATAGTTCTACTTTCTTTCACCTTTCTGCCTCAGGACAGTTCCCAAGTTCACCATGTCCCTGACTAGATTCTAATACCAACCCCACTTCAGCAAGTCCTGTCTTTGGGCTGACTTGAGAACGTTTGATATTCAAATGCTTCAAGGCAGTAGCAACGGCAGAACAAATGAAGAGGCATAAACCCAGTTCTGGCTATTTAATGAAAAAGTATTTTAAATTCTGTTCTAAGTAACCAAAAGACTGTTTTAAGGAGTCAGATTCTCCCCACCTCATTGAATGTACCAAACAGTATTACTTGGCCCAGTGATAGTAGTAAAGAACTATTAGCTGTGAAGTCACATCACAGCTGTGGAATCAACAAACAGAACAGATAAGATGCAGTAAAGGAAAGAAGAGATGGAGGTCACAGGCTGAAGGACAGCTGAGAGAGAATAAAGAGGCCACAGATGGACAAGTGTCCCCCAATATTTAAACAATTGGCTGGATTGCTGTGAGGCACCCACACGACTTTAATTTCTGTGGTCAAGGGGTTTACTGAATTTATTAAAAAACAAACTATTATTAAGGTAATAGCTAAAATTATATAAAAATAAATACACATTTTGCAGACTGGCCTGGTCAGTCAAGAATCCCAAGTCTAATGCGTTCACAGGGACACTCACTTGCACAGGTTTAGAACTCAGCCAATACAAGTTTTCATCCAAACTATTTTTAATGCCAAGCGTTTTTAAAACTAAGGCTATAAGAATTATAACTGAAGGTGACTCAGTACAAAAGAATATGGCATTTGTTCCACTCTTATTTTAAACTATAAGCTATCAGAGACAGTCAAAATAGCAATTTATGTGAAGCTATGATAAAACATAGTGAGTGTCAGATTTGGGCTTTCACTCCCAACTATAATAACGTTAACAATGTAAAGTTCTTCCTTTCAACATATGTCCCCATGGCTGGTAAATAAAAATCATACCTTCTTTGAAACTGCTTTCTTTATTTTAATCTAGAGCTCATTTTCAGGTATCTTATACCAAAATGAGGACTCTCTTGA